CACATACTGTATACGCACTGCAGACGGAGTACATGTTAACTTGGCGCAACAAATCTAGTTCAACATCTGAGGCAACGCCACAAAGAGCTCTATGACCAATGCATGGCAAAAAAATAAATCCCTGGACACGGGATTTTTTTTCTTTTTTTCTGCCATATATGTATATTCTAGAGACATTTTGTTACACCTTTACTTAGTGATTATTTTGCCTTATGTCTGTTCTAGAGACATGTTACAGCTTTTTGATAAAGCTCTAATTGGTTTTCTTTTGGAAATGTTTCAAATTCACACTGAATGCATTAATGACTGTAAAGCATGTCTGTGTGTGTCAAAATCGTGATTAAGATCGAAATCGCAAAATTGATCAAAGAAATTGCGATAGGTTTTTTTGTCCATATCGCACAGCCCTAGTAAATACTCAGTCTGGATCTTCGTCTGGATCTTCTCGAGTCGCAAACAGGCTGGAAACGCTTTACTACATGACCGGCCATCACAAACAGACCCACAGCTTGAAACATTAGCAGAGAGACGATATCACAACCAACATCAACATATCATCAGCGTTCAGTCTGGATCTGTGACTTGAGCGTGTGTCTGAAATAACAGTCCTGGATCTTTGTTCTCTCGCCCACAGAGAAGAAGTCCACCAGAACGCCGTTCGCTGGAGGAAGAGGTTCTCCTTTGTGTGCAAAATGAGCGCCAACCCCAACACCGGCGTTCTGGACCCCTGCGTGTGCCGCGTCTCTGTCAGGAAGGTGAGATGAATTCTTCACGGTTTAGTCTCATTGAAGCGAGGTTAGGTTTGAGGTCTTGCCGAGTTTGAGTTGAACTTGGAACTCAAATTAAAGGCTTGAAGTGTTGCTCATGAAGGGTGAGGTTGTGTTTAGGTGTGTTGGGATAAACATTGATGCCGTTCTGTCCCGTCTCTGAACTTCACACTCTTCCTGTTTTCATTACAGGAACTCAAAGGAGGAAAAACATATTCAAAGGTGAGTGAAAGCTTCCACATCTTTCCTTACTGTACATTTATATCTGACCCTGGACCACAAAACCAGTCATAAGGGTCAATTTTTTGAAACTGAGATGTATACACCATCTCAAAGCTGAATAAATAAGCTTTCCATTGATGTGTGGTTTGTTAGGATAGGACAATATTTGGCCGAGATACAACTATTTGAAAATCTGGAATCTGAGGGTGCAAACAAATCAAAATATTGAGAAAATCACCTTTAAATTTGTCCAAATGAAGTTCTTAGCAATGCATATTACTAATCAAAAATTAAGTTTTGATATATTTACGATAGGAAATTTACAAAATATCTTCATGGAACATGATCTTTACTTAATATACTAATGATTTTTGGCATAAAAGAAAAATCGATAATTTTGACCCATATAATGTATTTTTGGCTATTGCTACAAATATACCCCAGTGACTTAAGACTGCTTTTGTGCTCCAGGGTCACATATATAGAATGGAGGTTGTGCAATCTAACATTCATTCAAAGGCTCAAATATTAATTTAACAATTTCAATTGAACATTAATTCAAATCTCTTTAAATCTCTTTAAAATAAAAAAGTTTTAACTCCCAGTAATTATTATAAAATAATAATACTTTTTTAAAAGAAAGAAATTAATACTTTTATTCAAAAAGGATGCATTAAATTGATCCAAAGTGACAGTAAAGACATTTATAATGTGACAAAAGATTTCTATTCCAAATAAATGCTGAACTTTCTATTCATCTGTGAATCCTGAAAAATAAAATGTATCACAGTTTCACAATATATCAATGTATCACAATATATTGTGTGCATAATATAGGGATGATTATGATCTGAATGCCATGATATGCCTTTGACTTTGTTGCATAAAGCTTTGAATATGCACAGGATTGGTCTCTCTTTCATCTTGTTTTTCCATCACAATATGTTATAAAGAGCCGTGCCAATTATAAATCAAGCCGTAAAATAGCAAACTGAATTTATGAAAGACTGGAACTGCCTCGCTGATATTTTCATTTGTCAGTGGATTCCCAATTTGAACTACTTTTGATTTCAAAATTAAGCATTGCTTTTGCAAACGCTTTGTTTTCTCTTGACATCTTTGCAACACATTGAAATCACATAAAGCTCATAAAATAAACCTAGTCTATAGGTGCCTTCTTGCTGCAGCTAGGTTTCAATGCATCATGTGAAAAGCCTTTACAAGCTGTTATTGGAGTCATACATCACATTAACACTTTACAGTATTATCGTGTACAGGAGGCACTAACTCACCTCGATATGATGTTATAAACTCATTTGTCTGGCTTGTCACAAGATTTACACGCTCGTTATGATGCCATGGTCATTTGACCGCAGGTTTCAGGCATGTGATGCTTATCTTACATAAGCAATGCTTAAAAGACCATTCAAACTCGTGGCCTGACCCGCCGTTACCCTTAAGTGCCCTAGATAGCGCACAGAGGTGGGAATTAGAGCCCGACCGATATGGGTTTTTTGGGGCCGATACCGATATTAGGGAGTAAAAAAAAAGACCGATATCGATATATCAGCCGATATTCTTTGTGTATATTATAGTACAGTACCAGTCAAAAGTTTGGACACTTTTGCATTCGTGTGTCCACACATTTGACTGGTACTATATATAGAATACAGTATATACATAAACAGAATATATATACATAAACACATTTTTTGCAATGATCACTCAAATGTGGTATCAAACACTTATAATGGTGACAGAGATACGTAATGGAGGCAGGGCATTTAGCAATTTAACAATAAACTTTATTATCCAAAATGAGTCTGACATCAGTGCACTGAATAGTAAAGTTGAAGTTTATTTAATTCAATTCAATTCCATTCTTTAATTCAATTCAGGGCAAAACGATATATCGGTCGGGCTCTAGTGAGAATGCTTCATTCTCCGCCAGTTAAGCAACTTTTCCTTGTATTCTCCCCTGCAGCAGGGCTAAGTTTGGATTTCCCCGATCTAAAAATACTTGTGCTCTGCAGGAGAAGGGCTCTTTAAATAAATGCATCTGGCAGCGGTAGGTGTTCAGGGAAGTGAACCCACGGGGAGACGTGACAATAACTCAACAGGATGTTTAACTAGCAGCCGTCTACTAAACATTTACTGAACGCTCAGACGTGCAATAGGAATGACACTTCGCTGGTGTCAAAATAGCAAATAATGAATGTACTGTAAGTTGCTCTAGTTGAGAAAATGTCTGTTAATTGACTAGAAATGACTAGAAATTAATTGACTAGAAAAAGTGATCTGTTCAACAAAAGATCAGGCAATTATAAGTTTAGACTTGAATTGTCATGAGACTTATGGTTGCACAACAGAACAGAAAAAAGAAACTGAAAGCAAGGATGGTTTAAATGAATAGTAAAGACGTTTAATGTTGCAAAAGATTTCAATTTCAGATAAATGCTGTTCTTTTTCAAATAAACGTGTAGACAGAAATACAAGAAAAATAAATGAAAACATACAAGTAAAACAGAAACATAATATTTTTTTAAATGAAGCCGACGGGAGCAAAAACAAGGGACAGTAAATAGAAATTCTAATTTTTTTTTTTTTTTTTTTTAAATAAACAAATAAATAAAACAGAAAATTCACATTTTAAAAATCAAGCACAGTAATATACAAGGCACAGTAATGCAAGAAATTAACTTAACATGATAAATAAATAAATAGAAAGGAGGGAAAAAAGGAAAAAAATAAATTAATTAATAGAAATCAAGCCGACGGGGTGAAAATAAGGGACAGTAGACAATTTTAAATAAATAATAGAAAACAGAATAGAATAAATAAATAAATAAAAGAAACCCAAACTTATGTTTAATTCAAGCACAGAAGAGAAATGATACAAAAATAATGTTCTTTTGAACTTTCTGTTCATCTGTGAATCCTGAAGAATAAAATGTATCACGGTTTCCATAAACATATGAGCAGCACAACTGTTTTTAACATTGATTGTAATAATAAATGTTTGTTGAGCAGCAAATCAGCATATTAGATTGATTTTTGAAGGATCATGTGACACTGAAGACTGGAGTAATGATGCTGAAAATTCAGCTTTGATCACAGGAATAAATTACATTTCACACTATATTCAAATAGAAAGCAGTTATTTTAAATTCTAATAATATTTCACATTTTTACTGTATTTTTGATAAAAATACATGCAGCCTTGATGAGCAGAAGAGATTTACCAATACAAACTTACCAATTACCTCCAGATTTGGATTATTCTGGGAAAATGTGATTCATTTTGTTGTGACTGTGATATTCCGGTATGGTCGGATCCGGTGTTCCCCTGTAGCTCGGTTCAACTCATAATCGAATTAGTTTTGAAAGGCAAAGTTTCAACAAACTGTTGGCTGAGAAAGAGCAGGAGGGAACGAGTGATGTGCACCATATGCTCTATACGCTGCCAAACTATAATCAGCACATATTTCACATTTGGCATGGCATGATGGGAATCCTGTGCTTATAAACAAAAGCCAGTGTCAGTGTCTGTATGTGTGTGTGTGATCCTCTCAGCTGGGCTTTGCTGATCTGAACATGGCAGAGTTTGCTGGCTCGGGCTCCACCGCGCGCTGCTGTCTGCTGGAGGGATACGACACCAAGAACACCCGGCAGGACAACTCCATCCTGAAGGTCAGAGGTCAAACACCAGCTCACATACTGCAGTACTCTTGTTCTTTTTTTTCCCCCAAACTCATTTATCTCATTCATTAGCAACAGCATTTTCTAGTGGGTCACAAGTTAATTATAAAGAAAGAAAGAAAGAAAGAAAGAAAGAAAGAAGAAAAAAAAAAACTGAAACTTAACATTTTTTAAAAATCAAGCCATCCGTGTTGAAATTCAAAAACTTAATTTAAAAAATAAATAAATGAAAATACATAAATAAAACAGACTTTAAACAAACAAACAAGCAAAGAAATAAATAAATAAAAATCCAGCTGAACAGGGTTCAAATACAAGTGACAGTAGCTAGAAAAGTTAATTAAAATAAATAGATAGATAACCCCACAAACTAAAACTAAGCCAACGGGGTGCAAATACACACACATATATATATATATATATATATATATATAGGCACTGTAGAGAGAAATTCAAGAAATTAATATAAAACAAATAAATAAAATAAATAAACAAATAAATAAAATACATGATTTACTGTAAAAAATAAATGACATATAAATAAAACAGACACCTGACATTTTTCAAATCAAGCCAACAGGGGAGCAAAAACAAGGGACAATAGACAGAAATATGAGAAAATAATGTAAAATAAACAAATAAAATAAAAGTAAATGCATAAAAAATAAATGAAAATATTTAAATAACACAAACTTAACACTTTTAAGTAAAAACTTAAAAGGGACAGTAGACAGAAATTCAAGAAATGAATTTACAATAATAAATAAATACATAAAAATAAATGTAAATATATAAGTAAAATAGAAACTTAACATTCTTAAAACCAAGCCAAAAGAGGTGCAAAAACAAAGAGCAGTAGATATAAATAAATAGTAAATAAACAAATAAATAATAACTAGATGAAAATAAATAAATAAAAACAGGAACTTCACATTTTTAAAATCAAGCCAATAGGGATGGAAATACAAGGGGCAGTACACAGAAATGCAAGAAATTAATAATAAACAAACTATTAATTTAATATATTAAAAAACAAAACAGAAACTTAACATTTTTCAAGAACACAGGGGCACACATACAAGGGACAGTAGACAGAAATTCAAGAAAATCATTTGAAATAAATAAAAGAAAGAAAACAGAAATTACTATTTTTAATATGAACAAAAAGAAAACAATAACACCCTAGGTTTCTAAATATGATGATTGTGATTGCAAAATGTGATTGCACGCACATTTCTTCTCTCTCCTGCGTGATGGTTATGTCATGTTCTGAAAACTGGGCTCTATCTTGCTTAAAAAAATATTCGGGAGCAAGTTATGCAAGCATTATTCTTCATGAAAAACTTACCTGTGAAAATCTAACAAGTTCTTTCCTGTCATTTTGAAGGTGACCATCGGAATGACCCTCTTATCCGGAGATCCCTGTTTCAAAACGTGAGCTCTGAAGCCTCCTTCAGGCTGATAAATGACATTACAACAAACATTATGAGCAATGTTACTGATTTCACGAGTGTGGTTTTGTGTATAATTAGTCCCCCAAGCACTGCCAAATGTATATCTATGGCCGGTCGAGACCCTTCCCTGCAGCTGGACTGTAAAGGAGAAGGAACCGCTGAGGTTTTGCCCCGACTGACTAAACAGAGACCTTCTATACTCGGCTCTGGTAAAAAAAAAATCACTTTATTAAAGGTGTATTTTATCACATACATGAATGAGAATCAATTATTAGCCAGTAGTAATAATGAAATCCTAATATGTGACCCTGGAGCACAAGTCGCTGGGGTATATTTGTAGCAATAGCCAACAATACATTGTATGGGTCAAAATGATCCATTTTTCTTTTATGCCAAAAATCATTAGGATATTAAGTAAAGATCATGTTCCATGAAGATATTTTGTAAATTTCCTACCGTAAATATATAAAAACTTAATTTTTGATTAGTAATATGCATTGCTAAGAACTTCATTTAAACAACTTTAAAGATGATTTTCTCAATATTTAGATTTTTTTTGCACCCTCAGATTCCAGATTTTCAAATAGTTGTATCTCGACCAAATATTGTCCGATCCTAACAAACCATACATCAATGGAAAGCTTGTTTATTCAGCTTTCAGATGGTGTATAAATCTCAATTTTGAAAAATGTACCCTTACGACTGGTTTTGTGGTCCAGGGTCACATATTTCAAAGAATATCATAGTGCATGTCCAGTAAACTTCATGTTTATGTTCTTTTGTTAGTGGTATCGTTGTTTATATTCAGTGCAGTGTTTTTACGTTCATTTTGAATGATTTTTTCTGTCTGTTTTTGTTCTTTAGCTCTTCCCGAGGAGGTGGATCAGGGTCAAAGTCCTGAAGAATCGTTTCACTCGGGTCATTCACGCAACTCAAGTTATGCCAGTCAGCAGAGCAAACTATCAGGTGTGTGTGTGTGTGTGGATGTGTGTTTACGTTGACTGTCTTTCCAAGAAAGGAAAGCCCAGTGAATTCTGTACGTTTTCTTGCGTGTCGTCGCCAGTTGCTGATTGCTGATGTCTTTTTTCCCTGCTGTAGGTCGCGACACACTGCTATTGTTGTGTGGGAATGTTTGTTTAACATACTGCTACTGACACTTCAGGAGCGCTTCCGGCAAAAACACTTAAAAGACACTTAAAGCTCTTTCACGTGACTCAATGTTTTCCAGGACATTCAGTGTGTGAATCTCATCAGCTACTGCGTGTTTGTGCGCTTTGTCAAATTATTGCTGCGTTACAATTCATCTGTCTTTGCAATGGCAGGTCCAGTTTTGCATCTGAATGAGTTATGACATGAATTAAGTACATTTTAGGTAATAAATCCAGAGTTGTTAAACTAAAACTAAAACCATAAAAAAATATTTGCTTTACTAATAAAGTCAAATGAATGAAATGGTAAAATATACGTTAACTAAATAAAATATTAAAAAAACGTTTTTGTTTTAAATCATTTTATTTCAGCTCATTTAGTTTAACTTGATGTACTAAAACAAAAATACATGAAAAAATATATAAAAACGTGTCTATATCTGTCTGTCTGTCGATATCTATGAATAAAAATGACAAAAACACAATACAATTTCTAAAACTTCAACTACAATTAAAAGATCAAAATATTAAATAATATAATATTATATTATAATTATACATATAATTATTTTTAAAAATAAAAACAAAGAATAAAAAAATAAACTACTGAAAACTATAATCATATCTGAATTATACTAAAATAACATTGATTAAATGTTTAAATGTTTTAATAAATATGTTTTAAGTATTAATCATGGCATTTTCATACGATTTTGACTGATGATTGAAAAATTGTCAAACTTTATAAGATATATAAATTGTCATGCATATTTTACTGTATTTTTTATTGATTTTTAGTACTTATTGTTTATTTGCTGTAGGATGTTTTTCTCTGTAACTCTGTAAATAGTAAACATTTAGCACTTTAATTAAAACAGATGGTCCAGATTTTTCTCAGGAGAAGGTCAAAGTGGTTGATAGTTGACATTTCATGAAACAAACTTGCACTCATCGACTACTTCGAATCAATTAATAAAAAGCCAATGCCACAACTTTTTTCTGTTCGAAGCTCAAATATATTTTCACGCTTTACTACGCCCACATTCTGCATCCTACAAACGTCATAAAATCGCTCTTCTACGAAGCTTCGGTGCTTTTCATGTGGAGCTTGAAGTGTTGCATGATGTTTATTGGTCATGCATTCGTGTGTGTGTGTGTGTGTGCTCAGGCTACAGCACCGAACACTCCTGCTCCTCCAGTCTGTCTGATCTGACCCATCGCAGGAACACATCTACAGGCAGCAACGTGAGCGCCGACCCCCCGTCTGAGAGCGACACCCGTCCCGAGCGGCCTCCACGACCCCCGCGGCCCATCTTACCCTCCAACAGACCGCCACGGTAGCCGCCAGAAACAAAATGTGCCACAGTAAATAGGGCTGCACGATTAATGGAATGCGATAGTCATGCACATCTCGTCAGTAAAGCCGGTTCTGTGATCAGTAGTAAATCTCCAGCACGTGCTTTCAGATGGAGCGGCATTTACTACACTGACCTACACGATCACTGACGAGCTACGCAAAAAAATCGCAGACGATTTAATCGCGCAATAATGAAATCAAAGAAATCGTTCACAATAAAGTTGTTTGCATAGCTTCTCAGTGAACTACGGCTCTGTGAAGTAAATGCTGCTCCATCTGAAAGCATGTGAAAATACCACATTTAATAACATGTTTTTACTCCAAACTCACTTCATAACGTCAGTCGAGTGTTTGAAATAAATCCTTCTGAGATGATGTGGCTTCTTACACAGAATAAGGCACGCAACATATTTCATAGTATTCTAAGCAGTGATAAAGGCATTGCATTATTATATACTTTATTATAATGAGAACTCATAAATCATATATTGTCGTAGTCGTGTGTTTATTTGTCACGTTGAATCAATGAAAGCTGTTATATCTATAGGGATTTCCTGGGTGTATGTGGAGTTTCTCTGGCCTTTGGATGGAGATTTACTACTGATCACAGAACCGTGCTTCACTGAAAGATGCGCATGACAATCGCAGCTTTTGCCTAATCACGAAATCGCGAGATTTCATTGCGATTTATCGTGCAGCCCTAACAGTAAATGTAACTGGCATTTCCTTCTTTGTATTGCAGGAGGAAGCAGGATTCGGTGGAGGATCGCCCGACCTGGGTCAACGACACGCGTATGGACGCAGACGACATCGTGGAGAAGATCGTCCAGAGTCAGAACTTTTCTGACATCAGTAACAATGAAGGTGACAATCAAACTTCATCTCAGCTGATCCATGACCAGCGTCTGAACACTGATGTATTGCACGTTCGCTGTGGAAATACTCGCGTCCGCTTACATAACTAATAATTATTGCACCAAAACAAGAGCTTAAACTTTGGCAGCTAGGTGCGGCTTTAAGCAAAATCGAGCATGATTACTGAAATGATTTATTGCAGATTTACACTGAGTTCTATTTTTGTATTTCCAGTCTTGATGCAGGTATTTAAATGATAATATACACACTTTATTTATATACTGAAAATATATCTGAAAATAAATAAATATTTTATCATCATTTTATTATATATATAATCTACAAATAATAAAATAATATAATAAAGAACATAGATACAAAAATATATAAAATATTTTTACTTTTTTTTTTTTGGCTCATTGAGTTTTTGATTTGTATTTCCAGTATTGATTCAGGTATTTAAATGATAATAAATGTTGAAATAGTATTTATACACAAATCTGCAAATGTATTTTAATAAGATATTATATATATATTAAACTTATTATATATCAGAGACGGAACGACAGCGCTGAGCGCCATCCAGCTGGGAAACAGGTGATTCCACACAAACACGCCACAAAACTACAGCATCAAGAGCTGAAAAACACACACACACACACACACACACACACACACACACATTTTGATTTGTATTTCCAGTATTGATTCAGGTATTTAAATGATAATAAATGTTGAAATAGTATTTATACACAAATCTGCAAATGTATTTTAATAAGATATTATATATATATTAAACTTATTATATATTATGTAAATTATGTATTGCAAATCAGCAAAAATGTTTATATTTTATTTATCTATATATTGTCTATATTGCAGATAAAATGCAAATTATGTATATATATATATACACACACACACACACATTATATATATATATATATATATATATATATACACACACACACATACATTTTATATATGTACACACATTATATTTTCTTTATTAAATTTGAATTAAATTTAATGCACAAGACTTCACTGAACATCTTTATCATATATAAACTTGTGGTGTCACCCTGATGTATGTAGTGATGAAATATTGACCTTCCACTTGACAAAATCTGCTTACAATGGAGATGCATTGAGCCGCATGCTAAATCCAGGTAAAAAAAAAAAAAAGGTAATTGCGGATTTTTATCTCAAAATTCTGACTTTTTTTCCCTCACAGTTCTGAGAAAAAAGTAAGAATTGCAACATTTAAGTTCAAAACGGCAAGATATAATTTCAGAATTGCGAGATATAAACTGTCAATTCTGAGAAAAAGTCGCAATTATTAATTTTTTATTTTTTGTTCCGTGGTGGAAACAAAACAAAAAAACTGAATTGCAAGACATAAATTCAGAATTGAGACGTAAACTCAGAAAGAAAGAAGAAAGAAAGGCAGAATTCTGAATTGAAATCTCGCAGTTCTTTTTTTCCCTCAGAGTTTGCATCTCACAATTTTGAAACTTTTTTCTTGCAATTCTGATTCTCTCTCTTTTTTCCCCCTCAGATTTGCAAGAAACAAAGTCCAAATTGTGAAATTCAAAAGTGGCAATTACCTTTTGAATTTTTGAATTCTGTGTTGGAAACAGGCTTCCATGCATACCACCTGCGTCCAGCTGCATACTGTATGTGTGTGTTTTGTCTCGTCTGTTTCTTCCTTTCACATCTGTAAGTGTTCTTGTGTTCTGCTGTCGTCCGAGTCTGATGCCATGTTTTTCATTTGCGGTGAACACTAAGTTTTGTCATGATTGGGCTCTTTAGGTGGGCTTTTCCTGGAGCATCAGCCAGTCTGAGTGCTGTGAACGGACCAGAGATGTTCTCTGTGACCCACTGCTGTCTGTTGTCCTCAGTCTCATCTTTAAACTTGTTGCTGTACAACACAAAACTCCCTCCCTACAGATTCTAGTGTTATAAAACCAGCTTAATGCACTTTACAAGAGAATCTCACCAAAACTGTCCAGGTCACATTGTACCTCAGAATCAAAATGAGAAGAAATTCTTTCTTTATAAAGAGAAAATGAAACCTAGTTTAGATATAAATTAAAGGAATATTTTCCCCCGAAAATGAAAATTTCCTCGGGCCATTCAAGATTAGGATGAGTCTGTGTCTTCATCAGATTTGGAGAAATGTAGCATTGCATCACTTGCTCAGCAATGGATCCTCTGCAGTGAATGGGTGCCGTCAGAATGAGAGTCCAAACAGCTGATAAAAACATCACAATAATCCACACCACTCCAGTCCATCAGTTAACATCTGGAGAAGACAAAAGCATTTTTGTATTTCCATATTCAAGAAACAAACTCGTCTACATCTGAGGATGAGTACATTTTCAGCAAATTTTCATTTGTTCCTGAACTGTTCCTTTAGATTTTTATTTGATCATTATTCATTTTTTTGTATTGTAACAATGAAAAGCATTTTTCTAATTCCCATCACAAATAATTCCCATTATTCTGTATTCACAATGATTATTTTCATTTAAATAATTGCTTTATTTTTTATTTTTCACATTATTATTACCATTTTATTTTAGTATTTTTTTCATATATATATATATATATTTTTTTAACTATTGTTATTATTATTTAGCATTTCTAGAATTTTGGGGTAATGTACTTAAATGTCATAAAAAAATGATCCCAAATCTTAATAAGACTAATAATAGTCTCAGTAAATTCTGATTTTGAGATGAAATATGACCTGGGCTTTTTTTGCGAGGTTTAATGAGATTCACCCAAATACTTTTGGGGGCCAAACTGCATACAACTAAATACAAAATACCTAATATTTTGAAATCCAGCTTCTGTAAGAACATGTTTATTGGGAAAAGCTATATCGCCAGCTGTTGATGTTTAGTGTGACTCTAAATGCAGTCAGTGGCAGCACCGATGGATGTTTGATTATTCACAATATCATAAATGATTCCAGCCACCGCTGGTTCATATCAGGACAGTAAAGTTGCTCTTTATCACTTTGAAAGTGAGTTTTGCAGGCCTCGTGATGGCTCGGCCTGATTTTTCCAGTACAGAGGAACTCTGTATTTCTCAGAACCAGCTGGCTGGTTATTTTCCATCACGAAACAATCCCTCGATACAGATTGTGCTGGAGTTTTACAGAAACGCATGCTTCAGATGCGTTTGCTGCAGATGACGTGTGTTTTGTGTTTCTCAAGTGTTTCTTGATAAGCTGTGATCGACTCTTTGCTGCTGCTCGTGTGAACTGAGTGCTTGTACCAGTCTTTTGTCTGCTTTATTCATATATTTCCATTCTCTTTAAGCTTTCAAACAGGAGTTCTCTCATTTATTGTAATGTGAACATACTCCAGATTGGCATTAATTTGAGCACTTTCTAAACCACGGTGCACGACATTAGCACTGAACACAAGCAGAATGACGTTCATCTGTTCAGCACCAAACACTGAGATCTTTACTTGTTCCTTAACTTTGGAGCGAGTTAAAGAGTACAAAATGCACAAGCCCTTCATATCTCTTGCTAATAAGCTAACATTTTAATGCTATATTAATGAGATAGACTTATAACTTAATAAAAGTCTGTAATTTCAACGAAATTCACTTGTGTTTGTATGTAGCGCACTATTTTTGTGAATCTCAAATGTGCTTTTAATAAAGTTTAAGAAACTGTTTTACCCATTCTGTTTGTTGTAGTGATGGACTGATTCAAACTAAATGATCCATTTTGTTTATATATTTTGTATTATATTTATAAGCCATATTTTAATTGTTAAAGCCAATTAACAAACTGGTCAGTACTATTTTTTTAAAATGTTTTTGAAACGAGTCTCTTTTGCTCACCAAGGCTCAAAAATATAGTGAAATATTATTATAATTTAAAATGACAGACTGTATTCCATTGTAATATATTGTAAAATGTAATTTATTCCAGTGTTCAGAGCTGAATTTTCAGCATCATTACTCTAGTCTTCAGTATCACATTCTAATATGCTGACATGCTCAAGAAACATTTCTAAGTATTATCAATGTTGAAAATGGTTTAATATATTCGTGAAAACCGTGATGCATTTTCTTCAGGATTCACTGATGAATAAAATTCAAAAGAACAGCATTAGTTTGAAGCAGAAATCTTTTGACATTATAAATGTCTTTACTGTCACCTTTGATCATTTTAAAGCATCCTCGCTTCATTTCTTTTTAAAAACTGTACAGCACTCACACCTCAGCAAACAAATTTGATTTCCATTTATACAACATTTGAAGTGGATCAAAACCTTTCATCAAAGTTGGCCTGAAACCTAAAACCAAAATCATGCCTTAGGACAAATAAGATATGCATATTTATTTCCATTTGAAAGATAACATGCAACACAAATATACGAGCAGAGGTTACCAGTTTACTGCTAACTAGTGAAACACTCCATTAAAATGACTAACTGCACCTCAAAATACATGTCAGATGGAAACATTGTGCATTATGATCGAGTTTGTAGCTTCTTTCACTATATTTTAAATAGTTTGACCACTGCAGTTCAGTTAGTGACAGTTCAATAGTTGAAAGCAACCATTGAAGTGAATGTTAAACTAATCATTATATACTGTAATAAATATTTGAGAAATTATTGTGTCTGATTGTATTAGTCTATATGTGACCCTGGACCATAAAACCAGTCATAAGGGTCAATTATTTGAAATTGAGATTTATACATCATCTGAAAGCTGAATAAATAAGATTTTAGGATAGGACAATATTTGACTGAGATGCAACTATTTGAAAATCTGGAATCTGAGGGTGCAAAAAAATCTAAATATTTGATCAAATCGCCTTTAAAATTGTCCAAATGAAGTTCTTAGCAATGCATATTACTAATCAAAAGTTAAGTTTTGATATATCTTCATGGAACATGATCTTTACTTAATATCCTTATGATTTTTGGCATAAAAGAAAAATTTATAATTTTGACCCATACAATGTATTGTTGGCTATTGCTACAAATATACCCCAGCGACTTAAGACTGCTTTTGTGCTGCAGGGTCACATTTAGAGTGATAGTCAATGTAAAAAGAGCAAATGGGAGAAGCAGATGAACACAAAACAGCATAACAACATCAACTTTCTCATTCAACTGAACTGTGCACGTATGTTTTAAACACTTCGGCTCTTACATGTTCTTACTCCGCCCATGTATTAGCTAAATGTACGTCCTTGAAACGCGCGGTTTTAGCGTATTTACTTTACCTTCTCAACTTATTTCTAATCAGTTTGGAGCTGTTGATGTGGTTGTAATGCCCTGTACTGGACTACAAGCTCATCTGAGAGATGCAGAATGACCTATAATGAAGTAAGCGGTCACACTGAGGCAGAGGATGATGAGGAAGATGGTCCCGGGACCCACACGGACACACACATCTGCAGGGGCCAGTCGGCGCTGAAGCTCTGGATGTGTGTGATGGAGCGATTGACCATTTTTGACCTAGGGTTAAGGTTAGGATTGACCTAACCTAACCCTAACCCTAACCGCACTGGTAATGAACCACAGTCAGGAAACACACTGAGAGCAAGACGGAGGTCATGAGGTCAAGATATATGACAGATGTTTTCTATTGCTTTCAGATCGCTTTAGATTTACACTCATGAAATTGTTTGATGAGCATTTAACGATCCTGTGAAATTTCTTTACTTTGCAAACGTGATTTGCTACTTGATATTGTTAGCAGGATTTTATAGTTGACTAAAACATTTTTTTTGTTACTTGAAATAAAATAAACATGAAAAATTAAATAAAAAAATGTAAACTTTTGTTATTTTAGCTAGTTGTCAAGACAGCAGTACTCATTTTACTACAAAGTACTACAAAAAAACTAACTAATAAATAAAAGTATAGGATATACATACATACATATATATACAGTATATATATATGACTTGCTTCTTGCGTCAGACCAAGGCTGTATCTCATTGCTAGTTTTACTTGATCTTAGTGCTGCGTTCGACACTATAGATCATGACATACTCATAGATCGATTACAAAACTATACAGGTATTCAAGGGCAGGCTTTAAGATGGTATATATATAATATAATACACACACACACACACAAAATAATACAATAAAAAAACAGTTACTAAAATGAAAGTGAAAATATAAAATGTTTGAAAATATACAGACATGATCTAAAAGACACAAAATTTCAATTTTAATTTCAGTTTAAATGGATAAAAAAATCTGTTTGCTTAATATTACATAAAAATTCAAATAAATAAATCATTGTTTGCAAATTGACTAAATATATATCAATTTAATTAATGTTAAACTAACAAATGTAACTTTAAAATTGCATTTAAAGAAAGCATTTCCATTTAAAATGTAATTGGACGGTTGAGACGTGATAAGAGAACCTTGAATTAAAGACTTGCTTGATACAGCTACTTACTGGAATAAGACGCAGTGAGGGTTTTCTTTGAGTTGTTATAGCTGAATGTCTGCTGTAGTTCAAGCACTGATTGATGAACCTGTTGTCCTGATGAATCCTACAGAAACAGCTGCTGCTGTGAGGCCTAGAGAGAAATAAACCACGCTCAGAACGGAGAGAACCATCCCGTATTCACCACTGCTGAGTCTGACCACTAACTAGCACCGCAGCACTAGTCAGCGAACACACTAGTGATAATAATGCACGTGTCAGATTCCAGCGCAGCTCTACACCAGCAGCAGAACAGCTCATTATTACAAACTCTGTTTACAGTGAGTAAAGTGATTACATGATGTATAAAACTGTATAAGATATTTGATATATTACAAACTCTATTTACAGTTAGAAAAGTGATTACGTGATATAAATGTTTATAAAAATAGTAGTATAAAATATTAACTTTTTTTATATTACAAACTATTTACAGGTAGTAAAGTGATTATATAATACGTTAAAAATATAATAGTATAAAATATTATATATTACAAACTATATGAAGTTAGCAAAGTGATTACATAAATGTATATAATTTTCTAAAAAAAATAGTATAAAATATAAAAATATTATAGAGTAGAAACTATGCTTACAGTTAGTGATTACATTTTATATACATATAATATATAATTTGATAAAAAGTATAATAGCATAAAATATAAAAATTGTATTACAAACTGTATTTACAGTTGGTAAAATGATTGCATTAATCATACTTTAGTTTTTTCTAATAGCATAAAAATGGCATATATTAGAAAATATTTCCAGCTCGTAAAGTGCTTATATAACCTAATTGTATTAAAATATCTATCTATCTATCTATCTATCTATCTATCTCCAATAACATATATGTTTACACTCATTTTTATGAGAGCATCAAATTATAATACCAAGTGAAACCATTTACATTTAGTCATTTAGCAGACACTTTTATCCAAAGCGAATTACAAATGAGGACAATAGAAGCAGTCAAAACTAACAAAAGAGCAACAATAACCAAGTGCTACTATGACAAGTCTTGGTTAGCCTACGGCTGTTTTAACAAAAAAAAAAAATAAAATAAAATAAAATAAAATAAAATAAAATAAAATAAAATAAAATAAAATAAAATAAAATAAAATAAAATAAAATAAAAAGCTAACAATAATATCTTTTAAGTACGTTTTCTAACATTCCCATTATGTTATGAAAACGTTATTTCTGAATGTTCATCTTCATTTTCATAAATTCGTGCAATCTCAAGTCAACTGAGCTGTTGCTCTTTAAATAAGGCGGAGCAGTAAGACTGATGAACGCACTGGTGCCTCAAATTAAATACACACCCTAGCCCATAGAAATATAATGAGCAGAATAGCCATTTGGTGAATAGGCAGGGAGTGGCTGGCCGAAGCTGTTCGTAATAATTAGTTGACATAATAATTATCCTATTATTCACTGTGCTTTTCTTAATAAATTGCATTTCTATTAAAGTTTCTCGTGTCATAATTCAGGTATAAATTATTATTATTATTAATTAATTATTGTCAGGAAAAGCGCTGAAACAGCGTACACTCACGTGATAACTGTTACTTTTCTCAGCGCTGCTAAGATGGACCAATCACAGTCGATTGTGATTAGGGATTTTTAAGAGTCATTTTATAGAAATTGCTGCGGCGGATTTTTATTTGTATATCAGCTATTAATCGTTAGGAAATAACGGATTCAAACGATTATACTCTTCCCAACACAAATGTTTCCAATAAGACAAAAACCTTTCTGAGATTTGAATGCGACTCAATGGAGGATTGTATTCGTGAGCCGCTTAGCGCCCCCTACAGTTAACAACCGTTCATGCCTCATAGAAACTGTTGAAGACAGAAACACACTGGCCTCTGCGGAGCGCCTGATGCCGCGGGGATTCCGCCTCTTTCTCCGCTTACAACATGGATTTCAACGTGAGGAAACTCGCTACAGATGCTGGGATATTCTTTTCACGAGCTGTTCAGGTAAAAACGGGCCGTTTCTGGATAAATATACGAGTTTAAACGCGGCAGTCAAGAGTTCCGGTGACAGTTGATGTGTAACTCGTGACACCCGCATCTGCGTTTAACGTTAGCTACACAAAACAAACCGAGTTTTACAGATAAAATCACAAATGCACTTTTAGCCGAATTAAATCTAGTTTCGAACATAATTCATGTGACTAATGTAGTGTATGTTATAAAACAGCAATTAAATAGTGATATTGATTGGTTTGAACATGAGGCGTATTTAAATATAACGTTATTAAGTTAGGCTGTTTGGTGCTATTTTCAGTGTTGGGAAGTAACTAGTTACATGTAACTAAATTACAAAATAAATGTAATGGGAATCGGTTACAGTGACTGAGAAGAAAATGTGTAGTTAAATTACAGTTAACGTTACTTATGAAAATAACAATTACAATGGAGGTTACATCTGAATTCTTTTTCACACACACACACACACACACACACACACACACACACATCCACATAACCACATAACTTACAGGTTTAATAACTGCTCTAAAATATAAGACAATGTTTCAGGGTTTTAGGACACAGAATAGGACACGTTTATTCGATAACTGTTTTATTTCTTGTTTGGGTTAATGTGTTTGCTTTATTTTTCAAGATTAACTGCTTTTTCCCCAAGGCATGGTTAGATTCCAGTGTTTCCTGTCATAGCTATGCAAAGATTTGATTTAAAAAACAGTATCGTAGCTATTAAACTATTTCTTGTTATGATTTTAAATCTATATTTAGCCTCAGAACTATCACAAAGTGAAAAGAGGTGTTAAAGGGGTCATATGATGCTATTTTAAAGATCATTATTTTGTGTATTTGGTGTAACAGAATATGTTGACATGCTTTAATGTTCAAAAAAACACATTATTTTTCAAATACTGTACATTATTGTAGGTCCTCTATGCCCCGCCTCTCTCAAACACGTCGTTTTCAATTTTGTGGTGGCTGTGCTTTAAAATTTAATTACTATAATCTTAATTCAAGTGATGAAGGATTTGGAAAGTCTGACAGTAATCAGTGTTGAGAACTACTGTAAGGTTAACCCTGCCTAGTTTACATATTTGAAAATGATTAATAATTGAAAACATTAGAAATTTAGAAGAGTAGTCAAATGTATTCAGTTACATTTCTTTAATAAAGTAATTGAAATAGTTACACAACTTATTACATTTTAAATAGGGTAACTTGTAATCTGTAACCTATTACATTTCCAAAGTAATCTTCCCAACACTGATTATTGTGATGCGTTTCCTCTCAGGAATATGACAGGTTCTTGTTGATCTCGCTTCTTTTGCTCCAGTTTACAGAGGAGAAACTGGGACAGGCTGAGAAGACCGAGCTGGACACACACTTTGAGAATCTGCTGTCCAGAGCTGACTGCACCAAAAACTGGACCGAGAAAATCTACAGACAGACTGAAGTTCTGCTTCAGCCAAACCCTGGTGAGCAGGTGCTGGTGACTCAGACACACCTGATATATAAGAGTCATGAGTCAGTTCAGGACACTTTTGACTGCTGCTGTGACTGTGTTTCATCTGTGGGACCTTGAACATGATCTGGAATAAATATCTGATTAGGGCTTTGATCAAACATCAACTACTGTGTATGATGATAATGACATTATTCCTTTTTTTTGTGAGAAAAGTCTTGGAGCTGTAAGTCAGAAATTATTTGTTTATCAAATAATTGTTTATTTGTTTAAGTATTTTGTATTAATTTAATATTATATATTATTAATATATTTCATATATTATAAAGTATTATATTTAGTGCTGTCAAACGATTAATTAGGGCTGGGAAAAGAAATCGATGCTTCGCGAATCGAGAAATGATTCTGCATCGATTCTGAGATTTTCCGAATGCATCGCGATTCTTTCTTGAGTCGATTCTGAGCTTAGTTTTGAACGGCAAAACTTGTTTCCAAATCCTTACACACACTTGAACCTAAAATAATCATTCATAAAATTCGAAAAGGTTGAAGCGATCCTCTTTAGATCCTGTTTAAATGATCCTGGGGACTGACAAAATGTCCTCTAATTAAAGACTTCCAAATTTATTTGTGTCCAAGTAAAGGTCCTTTAAAAAACTGCAAAGTAGACCAAAGTGCTGAAGTATGTAGTTTTTGCACCACAAAAATCATTGTCATCGTGTTTTTTCCTTTAGTATGTCAGAAGTGTCACATCTTGACTGCTATTGTTCATTTGTTTTTGATGTTGCTTTATATGTCCACTTGTGCGCCAGGTGCTCGCATCGAAGAGTTCCTGTATGAAAAGCTTGACCGGAAGGTTCCCCCGCGGCCCACTAATGGAGAGATCTTAGGCCAGTTCATGCTGGAGGCAGCGAAGGAGTTTGGACCTGGAACCCCGTACGGTAAGAATCCAAACTCAGAAACATGTCTGACAATGTTTTTGTCGTCTCATTTTTAAAAAAAATCAGCACTTTAAAATTCTTTGCAAACCTCAGCACGGGATTGTCTGTGTGCATTTTTGGCAGAAAAAGGCTGCCAAGAGTAAACACTTGATTTATTTTGTCTGTAAGCTGAACTCCGCTGGGTCGAGGACAAATCCATTGATTTGGTTTTCAAATGATGCTCTTAATCTAATTCAATCCCCTGCAGTAACATTAAGAGCCACTGTCTGTGTTTGTGATTCTAAAGCTTCTTTTGTAGATATAATAATGTGAAAGCACGATAGGTTAGCAAGCGTTCCGCTCTTTAAGTGGGGGAATAATTAAAGCGCACCGACTGTAATGTGAAGTTTTTCAGTGTGATTGGATTGATTTTGCAGTCTCTGATGGTTTTTCCCCACAGGCTGTGTGGAAGCAGCCAAACCAATAAATCTCGATGCATTTTCTTTTCTGTTCCCCATCGGACTGATCAATAGTGTCAGAGGTCACAGCAGTCTGTGATGTCATTTCCTGGCCAGCATTCTTCCACAGAGATTTTCCCTTTATAACCTTCAGTAGAAGTACCAGAGGTGTCCAATTGATTTTTAGTTGCTTTTCTTGCCTCTTACATGATAATTAAATTGACCTAACTGTGCTCTAGTCATTTTTATCAATATTAATAAACCTGATTCTCAAAAACTATAATATTAAAGCTCTGCATCAGGGTTTTAAACCAGACAGAGGATGCATTTTATGCTTTCTGAGCAATTAGAAAGTCATTCTAGATAACACATTTGTCAAAGCAGTGATTTGTGATGAGCCTTTTGCAATCAAAACAAGACCTGTGACCTGTTTTTGAGTTTCAGTTTTGATCGAGTTGCGCACAGCTGGGAAGAAAAAACATTGCTAAATGCAAATAAAATTGAATTAAAATTGATTATTAAAACATAAAAATGAAATTAACCATACAGTTGTGCAGAAAATAAATATACTTATTTACTCTTTTGTTGATTTTGATTGCTTCCATTGTCCTCATTTGTAAGTCGCTTTGGATAAAAGCATCTGCTAAATGACTAAATGTAAATGTTATGGGAGAACACTGCTCATATCATCTGTTATTACTGTCAGAGGTCAGTAATTTGGTCCACAATTCACCTGTCACTATAAATGAAACCACAGTAAAAGAAAATATGACCCTTTATATAAACCCTTTATATAAATATATATATATATATTAGTGCTATGTTCAAAATATCGATACGACGATGTATCGTCACAGAGATTTGACGATACGAGTATCGATACAGCTGGCCCTGTATCGATATTGTGGCACGTGTGCAGCAGTGGACCACGCTTAATTTGTTTAAAATTTTACAACGTTTAAAATTGAGTAGGAAAGTGCGAGGTTTCTAAAAAAGAATGAATAGAGCATATATAGGCTACAACAAGGTTTTCACGATACAGAGGGTATCCCAACCTTTGGGTTACGAGTCCGACTCTCTAACCATTAGGCCACGACTTCCGTGTGTGTGTGTGTGTATATATATATATATATATGTGTTATTTTAGTACCATTAAGATACTATTTTAGTTTTTTATTAATATTTTTAAATTAGTTTTCATTTTTTATATTTTCTGTGTTCATTTTAAAGTTTTAGTAATTTTGGTGTGTTTTTTATTTTTTTATATGTCGATATATGTATATACATATACACACACACACACACACACACACACACATATATATATAATTTAATATTTATTTTTTAAATTATAGTTATTTTAGTGCATCAAGAATTTAGTGCATCTAGCTGAAATTAAGTTTAAGGTGTTTTGTTTTATTTTATTTCAATTAAAGTGTATTTTATTTCATGTAATAGAAATATTTTTTATGGATTTAGTTGTAGTTAACTATAATAACTTTATCCACATACAGTATATTCAGATCAGTATATTCAGGTATATATACAGTATATTCAGGGCGATATATACTATTTAGCAGATCTCAACTGCTTGATTGTTTGTATCGTTGTAAAACGTAACTATATTATATTTTCGAAAAGCTCTAATCTGCTAAATGCAACTATAAGGCATGAAGATATCATGACATAATCATTTTCATGATTTTTTGTAAAGCTGCTTTAAAACGATTTGTATTGTAAAAAGTGCTATACAAATACATTTTACTTGAGAACATTAAATATGGGTTGGTATATTAATAAACATCTATGAATAAGTGAATAAATATGAATTCCAGTGCAATTTTATTATTTATTTATTTCCTGAATGATAAATGCTTTTATTGCAGTGTTTGGTTGCCACTTGAAAAGCACAGATAATAGATCCATAGAGTGAAGAGAGAACTGTGCACTGTCTGTTCTCAAACTAAAGTGCACTTAGTGGTTTTAAATGGCTCATTAACGTCCTGTGACCACATGCTTTTAGGATGGGCTGTAGTGTCAGTCAGTGGACATACATGGTTTATCTCTGCAAGTACAGGACTAATGCAGCCTGTCTAAAGTATAGAAAACCTTGTAAAATTAATGTATGGAGTGTTTGTAGATGAACTTTTGACTGCATTTGTTGTTGGCCATTAATTAGGTTACTTGTGTCAAGAAAGCATGCTATAGTTTTCACATAAATACATTTAAAGGTCCACTGAAGTGCTTTGAAACACGCAGCGTTCTTCTGTGTGTTGACGTCATTTCATGTCCCGCCTCCTTTTTTAAAATAGCCAATAGCGTTTCGTTTATATCACAGTTACAGTTTGCACCAGAGCCGTTGAGCTCGGTAAAGCCGCATTTGACAGCATTTGACAGTCACAATCTCATATTGCTATAAAATATAGCATTCTGTGTAGAATTCAAATGGGTCCGTTAAGTATGGTCTGCGCCGACTCGTGCATATTATCCGCTTCGTGTATCGTGTCTGTGGACCGGAGCAGACTGCGTGCACAGTGCGGCGGTTAATGTGACACCGCGTGAAACCAGGCTTCATTCGCCCCAACGGAAAGCATATTTGCACTGTCTGAATTGTTCCCTGTCCCCTATATAGTGCACTGCGTGCCATTCACTGTACAGAAAATACAAATCCTGTGAACAAGTGACCAGTTTGAGCCGCAGCTTCAGCATCTATTTATAGTGCAGGGGGCGGGACGTTTCGGGTTCTAGAGAGCATTTGATTGGACAGAAAGTTTGATGAGAAGCTGAAGTGCAGTGTGATGTCATCAAAATCGCTGATCCATATTGGCGGAAGTGAGAGACCGTAAGTTTTGAATGATTATATCTTGTAAAAGCGAATTTTGTCATTGTTTTGTAGCACGCTAGCTTATAGATAATCTTAAGCCTAACATATTCATACCAAAAGCCAAAAATAATCATTGATTTCATGGATACTTTAAAAGGTGTCCAAATGTCTAAAATCACTACTGAAAATGCTTTTCTTTTGAATTTTTCGAATAACAATTTGAGAATGTCTCATTTGGTGTTTCTCTTTACCTTTAATGGAGCTCCATGAACAAAACCTGATGATCATGTTCTCCAGCATGATTTGAGATGATCCAGAGAGCAACAGGAACATCTGACTGTCTGTACAAAGAGTCACACAATCAATGACACTTATGCAGAGTTCACACTGCACGATTTTCAAAGTAATCTGATCACCGTTGTTTTCACACTGCACGACTATCTGGGGTAGCATTCAGTTGCTGCTGTGTTCACATTGCACGGTGGTTCGGCGACAGGAGGTTACACGCTGCATGACTTTACAATAGGAAGATTCGTCGACAACTCTGTCTGGTCCACAAATGATGTTTCACAACCAAACGCATGCGAGAAGTGATAAGGAAATAATTATCTTCATTGTTCATTGTCACATTCATTACTCATTACAACATACCTTAATATTTCATAATGATTGTAATAATTTTTAATAATAATAATACTTTTAAAGGGGTCATCGGATGTAAAATTAATTTTTACATGTTGTTTGAACATAAATGTGTGTTGGCAGTGTGTACACAACCACCCTATAATGATAAAAATCCACCCAGTGGTTTTTTAAAATCCCGATAAATCTAAACCCTTTTCTCATATCAAGCCGATCTCAGATTCTTGGCAGAATGACGTAGTTCTGCACAGGCCCCTCCCACGATTGTTGATTGACAGTGGCGTCAGTCTTTGGTTTTATCACAGACCCTCCCTGAATGAGCTGTCATCAGTCCGCCATTGTTTTCTAAATGCGATCTATCTAAATGCGTCTATGTACACACGAATCATTCGTGATCCAGCTTCACCTACTGAAGAAGTAAGTATACGTTAGGGATGCACCGATACCAAACGCCGATACCACACAGCATGTGATAAGCGCCATATTCAGACAAAGAAACACAGACAACAGAACAACAGACAGCAGAAAGGAGTTAAGGATGTCTACTACGAAGTATATGTATGCAATGAATATAATGTTAAACATTCAGTATTAACACCTGTATAGCTGATGTGCGCGAGCTGAAAAACAAAGCACGCTGAGTGGATTGAGCGCGCGGCGGCGCAGATGCGCGAGCTTGTCGAGTGAATATATCTTTCTCACAGACATCACTGGAAAGTTTGTAGTTCGGTCGGATATGTCAAAAACAAGTAAGTAAAACAATGCACAAGTTACTTAACGGTAGGGAGAGAGACAGAGAGGGAGAGAGAGAGAGAGAGCGCGCGCAATTCTGTTGTGTGATCTTTGATCGATGTTCACTCACTTAGCACACGCATCATTTGGATTAAAACGAAATCGTAAAAATAAAACCATTCATAGGGGCATTCACTATAAACATCATCTATTTTCAACCTTAGGCATACACGACTTTCTAGCGAAAGTGAATCTAGCAGCCTGTGTGAAATGCGCTAGGCTGTACTACTGTCCTCTCATTCTGCACCAGTACAAATACGTGTGCTCGTTGCGTGTGTTTTGCTTGCTTCATGAGTGTTGCTGCATTATATGAGTGGCTTTTGAAAATAAACCGCAGCACGTTTCAGATGAAAAAACGCGACTTCTATTTCTGAAAATATCACAGTTAGGAGATTTATAACGAGTGGTTCCCTGCATTATTACAGCAAAGCGCGTGATTAAAGTACTAAGCCGCTGCAATAATGCTATTAAATTAAAGATGATGTACCATAGAGCAAAAAAATGAACAGTAAAAGTAACAAAAACTTGTAAAATACATTTTAATGGGCATAATTAAGTGTGAAAATAACCGAAGGATATACAGTGAAACCAAAAATGATTCAGAGACCAGATATAATTTTTGATATTTTTTTACTAGTGGGTGCAGGACACTATAGTTCATTTATGTAAGTGAGGATAGCAAAATAAACTAAACTGTGACAAATCATACCCAAAAATTCTTCATACAGTGGACTACCAATAAAACTGATACAAATTTGGGTCCAAAAATTATTCAGACCGAGTCTGGGAAAAAAACTGAAGTTGAGGTTTTCATGAACCTGGGTGACAGCATGCCCAGGAGACTACAGGCTGTCATTGAGGCTAAGGGTTGCCCGACAAAGTATTCATAGTTGTGTAAATACTGTCATACTAACAGCTGTCTGAATTATTTTGGTTGATTGTAATCTATTACATACCTTTCTATCAAAATTATCTAACATTATCAAGATGAATTTGTTCTCACACAGTGTAACTCTGAGTTCTTGTCATATTTTATTACCATTTTCTAAACTATAACGAATAAACTGTGATAATGTGAGAAATGTTGAAGGTGTCTGAATAAATTTTGGTTTGACTGTATCTATTTGATAAATGAAGTTAACCAACTAACATTATACATACCCTTTTGGTTTCTGTACCCAATATTTAAAAAATGTACAAATGCAATAAAAATACCGGTATCGGCATCGGTATCGGCAAGTACCAAAAATAAAAGTATCGGTATCGGGCGAGTACTGGAAAAAGTGGTATCGGTGCATCCCTAAAAATAACTAAATGTTTCACAACCAAACGCATGCGAGAAGTGATAAGGAAATAATTATCTTCATTGTTCATTGTCACATTCATTACTCATTACAACATACCTTAATATTTCATAATGATTGTAATAATTTTTAATAATAATAATACTTTTAAAGGGGTCATCGGATGTAAAATTAATTTTTACATGTTGTTTGAACATAAATGTGTGTTGGCAGTGTGTACACAACCACCCTATAATGATAAAAATCCACCCAGTGGTTTTTTAAAATCCCGATAAATCTAAACCCTTTTCTCATATCAAGCCGATCTCAGATTCTTGGCAGAATGACGTAGTTCTGCACAGGCCCCTCCCACGATTGTTGATTGACAGTGGCGTCAGTCTTTGGTTTTATCACAGACCCTCCCTGAATGAGCTGTCATCAGTCCGCCATTGTTTTCTAAATGCGATCTATCTAAATGCGTCTATGTACACACGAATCATTCGTGATCCAGCTTCACCTACTGAAGAAGTAAGTATACGTTAGGGATGCACCGATACCAAACGCCGATACCACACAGCATGTGATAAGCGCCATATTCAGACAAAGAAACACAGACAACAGAACAACAGACAGCAGAAAGGAGTTAAGGATGTCTACTACGAAGTATATGTATGCAATGAATATAATGTTAAACATTCAGTATTAACACCTGTATAGCTGATGTGCGCGAGCTGAAAAACAAAGCACGCTGAGTGGATTGAGCGCGCGGCGGCGCAGATGCACGAGCTTGTCGGGTATCGGCAAGTACCAAAAATAAAAGTATCAGTATCGCGCGAGTACTGGAAAAAGTGGTATCGGTGCATCCGTAGTATACGTTTTTTTTAATGAATCTTTGCAAATCGCCTTTCCTAATAGCTGTTTTTGACAAGGTAAAAACTGTTGCTTTACACTACCATTAAGAAATTTTAACCAAAGTATATTATAGATATTTCATTAAGACCCTAAAGAATCATATCAACTTGTGGAAAATGGGCATCCCTTTAATACTTTAATAATAATAATATTTTTAATGACATTTAATATTTTTTAAACTTTTATGCACTTATTTTTAATACAGGGTGCACCCTACTGTTACATGTACGCATTTTATAGAATTTTTATAGAATTTTTATATTAGCTATAATATGAAACACATTGACTTGACTGATTTATGTAGGTTCTCGACCCTGTTGTGTTAAAGCTCAGATGAAACATCAAATAGACATGGGTGCTCCTGCCAAGGTTCGACTAAACTTTCCTTCATTTCTTGGGTCCAAATAGACCAAGAATGAGCCTTTCTCGGAACTGAGGCTGCTGATATTGTGATAGGGATATTTCCTTAATTATTCTGATATAAAGGAAGTATGGTGATTTTTGAAGTCGAGCCTAACAGAAAAGAGCTTGAGGCAATTCAGTGAAGTTTTGCAGTTAAAATCACAGACTGCCATGTAAAGAGGTGTTAATTATTGATTCGGTGGGCCGAACAGTTGCTCTAACATATTTGTGAATGTCCCTCTCAACCGGCTGTGACACAGTTTGCTTGCATCCTTATTTTACATCCACATTAAATTTCCCCATTGAGTGCAATGCAGTAAAATTACAGTAATAACCGATATGACCGCTACACTGGTCTGCATCCTATTTGCTGAATGAAATCCAATACTTGTTTCTTACTAATTTTGTGGTGCTGATTTAAAAAATAGTGCCTGTTTTGCTCGAGCATGTCGCACTTTCTCACAAAATATATTGCATTTTGTAGCATTTTTGCTTTCGACAACCATTTGTTAGTTGAAGAAGTCTTAAACTATCCCTTAATCAGCAGAAAAAGACACTTCCTTTGTTAAATTCTTATTAATTGATGCCGAAATCCACTTTTGCCACTCTTTTGGAGATTGTAAGTTAAACGATACATTCTGAATACTTCTTTTCTCATTAAAACTAAAACTTTTGACATTTGACTGCTTTTGCTACTTTGAAACGTGAATTAAAGCTGATACATATAATTTGATATTATTTATAATTAGACTTGTGCCGGTATTCGGTAATGCGATATATCACGGTAATGAATATGCACGATATTGTTATCGTGGGCCACTTCTAAATACCGTGAATAATTATATATTACAAATGATTCCGAATTTTGAATGCATTTTAAGAATACTTCTCCCATCAACTGGTCAAAATGCACAACACCGCCGTATGCTGCATGAAAGATGCGTGCGCACTCTGAAAATTTGATACCAGCATATCCCTATTTATAATATTTCATCCTTATTTTGTGAAAAACTATGTGCTGGAACTTGTTATTGATATTTTTGAACTTTGCTTCATTAAATTAGGTGATGATAGAACTTTTTTTACAGATCAGCAGAATTCTTTTCAAGATGTGTTATTTAATGCACTTAATTTATCTGTGTTGGAAATGAAATGGATTTTGTGGAAATGAAATGGATTTTGTGGGAATGAAGTAATTCTGCCCACACTGTGGGTTTTACTCGTGACTCATCTGTGCTTTGGCCGTGTAGGAAGCACTCTAATCAAAGTGGGCGACTGTCAGAGGAGACTGGGTGGCGCTGAGAGAGAGTTTCTGCAGACCTCATCCATTAGCTTCCTCACACCCCTACACAACTTTCTGGAGGGCGACTGGAGGACCATTTCTGTGAGTTTGACTCTTGTACTAACAGATTTGAGCATGATGCTGATATATTGAAAAATATTGTCCTCCTCGCAGAGAGAGCGGAGACTCCTGGAGAATCGGCGCTTGGATCTCGACGCCTGTAAAGCGCGACTCAAGAAGGCCAAAGCGGCGGAGACCAAAGCGGCTGTAAGATTTATTTCCCCTGTTCTCTCCTCCCTTTTCTTCTCTTTTCTCTAGGAATTGGAATCATAAGGGATTTAGCATTTCTGATTTTGGTTCACATTTAAGTTTTCTTAAAGCAATAGTTCAGCCAAAGTTCAGTGTTTGTAAGAAACAAATCCATCAAAACGTTTTAACTAAACTGTTGCTTCCGGCTAAAATATGAGTCCTTAATCAATAATAACGCTTCATCGAGTGAAAAAGTCTGTCTACTGTTGTCCTCTCACATCAAAATCCACCCACAAATTTGTTTAGAATTGTTTTGTTTTGCCTCTTATAAACGGTGCTTGATCTGAGCAGATTTCTCTCCTGATTCAGACCAGGTGACTTTTTCACTTGGAGAAAGCAATTGTTAAGCAGTATACAGTACGTCTCAATATATTTATTTCTTACAAACACAGCTTTTGGTTTCACAAGATGTTAACTGATGGACTGGAGTGGTGTGGATTACTGTGATGTTTTTATCAGCTGTTTGGACTCTCATTCTGACGGCACCCATTCACTACAGAAGTTTGTTAATCTGGAAAACAATCAAATACTTGAAAGTTGATTGTCTTGAAGACTCCCTTCTTATTATGTGTATTTTATTTGATTACGATCTTCTGTCCTGCGGAATGCAAACATTTCAAAACTGTTATTTGATTTTGGTATTCTAAAAAAGGTAACTAGTTGTGAATAATAACTGGTTCTCGATTCTCAACCCTCTCATTCCTCTTCCTTATTGTCACGCTTTGATGACATCACTCGATATGGGTCTCTTCCTCGTGTTTGTTGTGTGTGGCTGTGAATATTGAGTGATTTCTCACCGGTTGATCGAGCACTAACCGTGTGTTTCTGCTTTAACCTTCACAGTGTGAGGGAGAAGTGAGTATCGCAGTGTGTTTCCTCTTATGCACGTTATGCTTTTTTTTTTTTTTTGCCTTTTTAACTTTTTTTTTTTTTTATTACAATGACTTAAAGGCCTTTCAGTTTTGTTCCTCGTTTTTCATGAACTCCACTAAGATCTTCTTTTGAATAATATGATGGAATTACTTGTATCTGAGTAAACCTTTAAAATATAGATTTCCAGAATGCATCGCAACAAGCTTAGAGATTTTTATTTATTTATTTATTTTTATTTTTTTGAATGTCTCCCAAAAAGTAGGGGGAATAATTTCTACATTTCCAAATTCCTCATTTATAAAGGTTGCTATGCCCTTCATTGTAAAAATATATGTTATTTAGTACTGATAATATTAGTGTATTTTATTGCCACAAGTCAAATATACAAATATCCAAGTGTCATACACAATTTTACATAGCTACTACTTATGCATGTTTTGTATTTTTGTGCTTATTTGAGTATCATTTTGTTGGCTTACAAACATGCAAGTGTTATTTAAGTATTATTTAAATACCTTTGTAGTATTTATTTTTATTTTGAATATTTATTTTTATGTTTTCTGTCTTCATTTTAATTAATTTAATTTAATTTTAGTTTAGGTTTTAGTAATTATATGTACTTTTGTCTTTTGTATTAGCTTTTTTAATATTTCATATTTAGCTTTCATTCATTTTTATTTTAGTTTAACACTTAAGCTTATTTCAGTTAGTTGCCAAGGCAACATTTCTAAAAAAAAATTTTAAATTTATTTTAATTTAAATTATTATTTTTTAGTTAACCATAAAATGCTACTACAGACTATGGGAAATTAGCTGTGAGCATTAGCAGAGATTCAGCCCCTGTTGAAAATCAGTTACGTTTGAGGATCCATTGCAGTTATGATGCTGCCTGAGATTGTTATGGCCTGTGTGTGTAGACGGTTGACAGCGAGGGTTTGGAACAGAGAAATCAATCAAAACTTCCTCTGTCAAGAGTGAAAGCTGATAGAGTCTACAGAATACAGTTATTCTGTCAGCGTCCTCTAGTGGCTAATATATGAACAGAAAGTGTAGTTTGTGATCATGTGATCATCTGTTCCATCATATCATGATCAAATTGTTTTGGGTTTCGTTAATGCAACAGAATTTATACATAATGCACTTAAAGATGCAATATTTCAGTTGCAGTATCTTTATTTCATCATTCAGCAAGATCAAAGATCAGATGTTTTCATTCTTATATTAATTAAAGATTAGCTAAACATCATCTAAACTTGAACACATTATTCTGATCTTTGAATCTTTTTAGCTGTAGTTCTGATGCATGAAGGCTTTTAGAAGAGAATTCATTGCTAATTTTTGTTTTTAGTTTCTCACAATGACCAGCAGTTATCATCCTATAGTTCAGTGCAGTGGATGAAGATGGAGCCAGTCAGTCTCTTACCTAAAATATCTGCTGCTAGTGATTGTGTTTTGGCAGGAGGTGTGTATTAAAGTGTGTTCCTCTCTGTTTCAGTCTGTTCCAGACTTTCAAGAGACAAGACCGCGTAATTATGTGCTGTCTGCCAGTGCATCTGCTGTAAGAACATCCTGCAGACATCCACCTCCACACACACACATCTATATACACAAGCACATATAACATTTCCAGTATTAATATTCACGAGAGACAGTCTGTCATTACATTATTCTGACATGCTGTTGTCAAATCGCAGTGTTTTCCTTCGTTCTGTGAGGGATGTGATTTTACCAATGATACAAATCAGCATATGGAAGCTTATTTCCATCACAGAATAAAACCAAATTAAAAAGGTAAACATTTTTTTTATCACAGACCAGACTTTTTTCTCACAATTCTGAGAGAAAAGGTAAATATCGTAAGATATAAACTCAGAATTGTGAGATACAAACTCTCAAATTTGCAAGAGAAAACAAAGTCAGCATTGTGAGAGAAAAAGCCACAAATACCTTTATAATGTTTTTTGTTCTGTAATAGAAACAAAAAAACAGAATTGCGAGACGTAAACTCAGAATTCTAAGAAAAAGTCAGAATTGTGAGACATAAACCCGCAATTGAGTTACTTACATTTGCAAGATTCTAAGAATCAAAAAGTTACAATTACCTTTTTAATTTGTTTATTCCGTGGCAGAAATATCCTTCCATAACTTTGCTCTTCTACATGCTTCACCCTCATGCATTAAGGATGTAAATGAGCAACCTAATACTTACCACTATAACGAAACTAATCACACATTTTTCTGCTTTTATTTCACATTTACTTTCATCATTTATAGTTTGGTCCTCAGAGATGTCAGCATTCTGAATTGTATTAACAGTCACACTTTGTTCCTTTGTGTTCTGCTGTAATTAAACACAGCTTGAGTTTAATACTTATTATCATTGTAATGCTCTCTGTGCTCTTATCTTGTCATGTCTTTCTGTTTGTGTCTTTCTCTTCCGATCAGCTATGGAATGAGGAGCTTGATAAAGTAAGTGTGACATGACAAATATATGCATTGATGTTTGTATATATTCTGTAGTAGTTTAGTTACTGTCTTCTGGTTTGGTTGTCATTAATTGTCGGGTTTAGCACCGAGCACTTTATACACGTCACTTATGTGCAGGGTTATTGTCAACTAAAGCTAAAATTAAAACTGAAACCAAAAACATAAAAAACAAATTTTTGTTACTTGAAAAGATATACGTGAACTGAAATAAAATAAAAAACATATAAATATATTATTTATTTAAAAAAAAATTCTGCTAGTTACTAAGAGAAAATTTATTATTTTCTTTTAGCATAATTTGCTAAAATAACTAAAACTAAGACTGAAATAAAATCAATAAGAATTAGAGACTAATAAAATATAATTATGGACTAATTTAAACTAATAAAAATGTTAGAAACACAACAAAATTGCTAAAATTTTTAACTACAATTAAAATGAAAATGTAAAATATACAAATACAAACTAATTTCAAATATTAATAAAAAACCATAGTAAATGATACAAAAATAACACTGCTAATGTGATGGGTAAATTAAAGGAGTCATATGACGTTGCTAAAAAGAACATTTTGTGTATTTGGTGTAATGAAATGTGTTTATGCGGTTTAAGGTTCAAAAAACACATTATTTTCCACATACTGTACATTGTTTCTCCTCTATGCCCCGCCTTTCTGAAACGCATCGATTTTTACAAAGCTCATCGGTCTGAAAAGCGAGGTGTGCTCTGATTGGCCAGCTATCCAGTGTGTTATGATTGGCCGAATACCTCAAGCGTGAGACGGAAATGTTACGCCCCTGCCATTATAAACGAGGCATTTGTTGCATCCACTGGGGACATAATTACTGATTATAATGACTTTTGATATTGTCTTTTTACGCGTTGCGTTGCGTATCGCGCCGCGTAAACATAAAACCATTTGTCTGCATTTGTGATCGGAGAAACGACAAACAACAAGCGCTACTCTACACTGCTCAAAACTCGCGTTTGAATCATCAGTGGCAAATTCTTTAAATATGAAACCATACATACAGGTTGTGAGATAGAACAGCCAGCATTGTAGGTTCAGGAAACAGTCCTCCCATTTTTATGAATAATGACAGAAACATTGAGAATATAAATATTAATTGAGAATATAAGAGAAAATAAAAATTCTGTCATGAATATAATGTCACAAATGCACAAATCATGGTGGTCCTAAAATATTCTTTTTAAAAAAAAATACAAAATATATTTTTTATTTCCTTCTTATTTTTTCCATTTGACTTTGGAATGAATCCTCAGATTCTGTTTTCTGGGCCCAGTTGTATAAAATACTTAGACTAGTTTTATTAATTAGTCATCTAATTTTTTCTTTGAGACTACTCATAAAAAAACAGGTATTTAAAATGTACATCAGTCTAATTTGAATCTGAAAAGCATGACTGACTTTACTAACTGCACATTGGTTAAACTTGTTCTTAAAGGGGTCATATGATGTGATTTCAAGTTTTCCTTTCTCTTTGGAGTGTTACAAGCTCTTGGTGCATAAAGAAGATCTGTAAAGTTGCAAAGACTAAAGTCTCAAACCCAAAGAGATATTCTTTATAAAAGTTAAGAGTCAACCACGC